GAAGATAGAATTCAGTCACTTCAGTGTTATTTCCTTGTGTCATGGTTACCAAAAGTCTGAGAGGGACCAAGAGAAAGTACAAGAAATGAAGAAAAATCTTGGTGAATATTTGAAATAAAAAGACTTACATTTCACATCACTTTTTTTTGACTTGGATTTTCATGGCAACACACACAAAAGGGTTTATTGCTTTTCAGATAATTTTTAATCTTTTTGATGAGAAACCACTATACAAACAGTAATACGTGAGCCATGGATTATTCTAAAATAAAGAATATTTCATAGAAGAATATTTCACAAAGAATATTGATTTTTACTACATACGTAAGAAACACAGATTAACATACTTTTCCATTAAACGAGTACACATATTTGCAATATCCAAATGTAACTTTGCACCTTTTCAGCAACCTATAGTTTTTCTGAGCCATTTACCATCTGATTCATTTAATCCTGGTTCTAGCTCTTGAAATTAGAATTAATTAGAATTAGTCAGAAAGAGGAATTTTTAAAGGTATGTTTACGGTCCGCACATGCTTGAAGTCTTCATAGTGCATTTGTACTACTATCCCTTTTTGCATCTCCCATCTAGGTGATTCCTTTCACAAGCCAGATAATCCTTTTATTTCATATACATAAGAAAGAGATAAGGTCGAATATTCCATGGCATTGTTTTTCCCATTGTTTATAGCCTATCTTAAGGGAAAATCATCTGGTAACAATTTTATTCATACATAATGATAGCTTATATTAAATTATAGATACCTTTGTCTTTTTCCATCTGAATTATGCTATCTCTCTACCCGGCTAGGCATACTGCTAAAATTCATTCATCCATGATTTTTCATATACTGTAAGACCTAGATCTTTCTGAGTCGGGTGTCTTTATGCTTAAACACCATTTTATACTGCTAAGCACTGCTCAGTGTACACCAATGTATCATAGATCCTCGGTGTGGCAGAAATTGGCTTGCTGTCAATACACATGTCTTTTCTTCTGGGCACAGAACTAGACCATACTTCCAACCAAATGTGCTTATGTGTGGCCATGTATCATGGACAGAAGTCAGGCCTGAACCAGCTCTCCCCTACCTCCATACCCATGCAAACTGGAATCCTAAGACTTTCAACTCCCTCTCTTCCTCATCTGTTCATTGGACATTCAGGAAAATCTTGCAAGTCCTGTGTTAAGAATGACAGATAGAATATAGAACATGAAGTTAAATTCGAATTTAAGATAAACAGATAATTTTAAGTATAAATGTGACCTAAATATTGCATGGAAAATACATATACTTAAAGATTACTCATTGTTTGTCTGACATTCAAATTTAACTGGGCATCCTGTATTTTTATTTGTTATGTCTGGTGGTCCTACCTGTGTTGCT